CTGCTCCCCAACCCCCAGGCACTGCTTTTTGTCCTTCTGTTTGGGGGCCACACCTGGCGGTACTCAGGGGTCACTGTTGGCAGGGCCTGGGGAACTGTATGGGATGGTGGGGATCGAACTCAGTTGCCGCGTGCAGGGCAGGGCAAGTGCCCTCCCTGCTCAGTATACTGTCTCTCCGGCCCACTGCTGTGTGGATGAAGCTGTGTCCTGGGTGCGGTCCTGGCAGTGAAGATCGGACCCACCCAGGAGCCAGGAGAGCTTGCTGAGGGGCACGGTCACCCTCCACGACACTGCGAGCTTCACCCTCACGCTGTGGGGAGGAGCTCCGGAGGCTGGTGGGGGAGCTGGACCTTGCGGTGTTTGCCAGCCCCGTGTGCTTTCCGCTCCCCGATGGCTGGTTTGGGCCAAGCACTGTTGGGCCCGCTCTTCTGGTTTTCCAAAGCGTACCTTGAGAACCCGGCAAGAACCCAGGCTTCCCTGCTGCGCCTGAGACGGAGACGCTTTCCCGAGAGTCTGGGCTTGAGCCCTTCTGCAGGAGTCCCCTCTCCCCGCTAGTGTCATCCGCCCACACCATGAGGGTCAGGAGGCGGCTGAGACTTATGTGGGAGCCCCCCCACCCCCTCGCCGAGACGGCCTCTGGAGCACGCTTCTGTGCTTCCGTGCTCTGCGAGAAGTGGGGGGAGCATCTGACTTGACACGGCTCAGCAGTTAAATATTGGGTGTATGTAAAAGTGTATTTATGGTCTTGGATTCGGGGGCTCACCTGGAGTGCCGGGAACCGAACCCAGATGCGCTACCCGTTCTCCAGCCACTAAGCAGTTTTTTTTCCTTTGATGTGGGGCCCACCCACCCCCATTGTTGCTCGAGGCCCACTCCCAAGTGGTGGCAGTAGTGTTTGGGGACCCTGGGGTATTCTGGGATTGAACCCAGGCTCTAGTCCATTGACCCGGCTCCCCAGCCCAGTAAGAGTATTTTGTTGGTAAGTAAAGTAAGGCCCTCCCGTTGATCATCGATTTGCTCGAGCGGGCCCAGTAACGTCTCCATTGGAGACTTTGTTGTTACTGTGTCTGGCATATCGAATACGTCACGGGGAGCTTGCCAGGCTCTGCCGTGTGGGCGAAATACTCTCGGTAGCTTGCCGGGCTCTCCGAGAGGGGTGGAGGAATCGAACTCGGGTCGGCCATGTTGGCTGCGTGCAAGGCAAATGCCCACCGCTGTGCTATCGCTCCAGCCCATTTGGTTGGTACTAAATGAAATTCATATATAAAGATTTAGTCATTCAGATACCGTAAAGTTTGCGGCCAGTGTGATAGCACAGCACATGGGACCCTTGCCTTGCATGTGGCTGACTTGGATTGGATCCCCGGCCCCCCATATGGTTTCCTGAGCATTGTGGGGTGTGGTCCAACCCCCCCCCTCCGCACCTCTCCACACACACACACACACACACACACACACACACACACACACCAAAAAAAGAAAATGGTGTTTGGATTTGATTTGCAAGTTTTTATCCTGTTCATCTTTTAGGCAAAAATAATGTGCTCTTCAATATGCAAATGCATTGGCTGTAAGAACTTTGAAGAAAGCCCCGAGAGAAAGACTTTGATGCATTTGGCCGACGCGGCCGAGGTGAGGGTCCAGCAGCAGACGGCAGCGAAGACCAAGTTATCCTCACAGATCTCGGACTTGCTCACGAGGCCAGCGCCGACTCTGAATAGCGGCGGAGGGAAGTAAGTCCACGTTCTAATCTGTTTTGGTAGGCTACCATGAATATTCGCCTTGACAGTTTCTCTGTGTAATTTTCTTTTCCTAGTGGACCATACCTGGGTGCAGGTCGGCCCCTCATGCGAGTGTTGCCCCCTCTCCCCCCCTACAGAGCACGCACACTTGCCCCACACACGCACACTCAGTGCCCCGCCCTAGGGAATTACCCTGCTTGGGCAAAACTGAGTTGATGCGCTTGGTTCTCGTCAACCCAATTTTGCAATTCCTTCCGATCTTTAGTTACTTGTTGTCAGGGGATGTGAAGTTGTTAGAAAAACCGCTGGTCACTTACAGAGTTCTAAAACATTCCGCGATACTTTAGTTCATTCCACTGTTTGAGTTCTGTCTCCTGTTCTAAGATCATTATTGAGAAGGCCCTGGTTTTTATAGCTTTTGCTGGGGCAAGCTCCCGAGAGTATCTCGCCCACAGGGCAGAGCCTGGCAAAGCTACCCGTGATGTACTCGATATGCCAAACACAGTAACAACAAAGTCTCCAATGGAGACGTTACTGGGCCCGCTCGAGCAAATCGATGATCAACGGGAGGGCCTTTACTTTACTTTACTTAGTATTTTTGTACTTCCGTTCTCTTGCCTTTTCTGTGTAGCTGCTAGCACATTGCCCTCCTGCCAAAGGGCCCCGCAGTAGTTTACTCAGCTCCTTACTCATCAGACTGCTCAGCTCCTGGGCAGAAAAGCTGGACCGAGGTAACCTGATGGTGTTCAGTGATGGCGCAGTTGCCTCGCAAGTGGGAGGCCCTGGGTTTGATCCCCACAGGACAATGGGGACCATAACGAAGTGTGTGATCTGAAGACTACTGCAGCAAGGTGTGTGGAAACTCACCTCCATCATCCCAAGCAGGCAGAGAGGCAGGCTGTCACGAATTTAAAGACTGTCTGTATGTTGAAAGCAGCCAGGTCACAGAAGACACTTCCATACAAAGGAAAACCCGTAAGATTCGCAGCAGATCTGCCAAAGAGGACGCCATAGGCAGAAGAGAATGGAGAGTAGCGGACAGAAACTCAGTAATAGCATGAACACCTCGCCAGGAATACTCAGGCAGAGAGCTTGTCATTCCTCTCGGAAGGAATGATCTGAGCTTTGTGGACAGATCACAGCTTAGGGATCTCAAAGCCTTGAAACCAATTTTGCAGGAAGCATTAAAGGAGTTTCTTTAAAAGGCCAGACCGACTTCCTGGCACTTTGATGGAGTGGCGTTCACTTGTGGCGCTACGGGTTCCCTTTGCTAGAGAAAGATCTCTTTACTCCTAGCGTGCTAAGGGCTTCTTGGGTGATCACATCTAAGCTCTGCCTGGAGATCAAGGATGAGGCTGCAATGAAATATTTACAATTAGGTTTTCAACTTGGGAAAATATTTACGTTATATACCACAAAAGAACTCAAAACTTCATGCAACTGTCGAAACTGTTCAAGATTATATGAAAAGGTAGTACTTGAGTGTTAATAAGCTTTTCTGCCTTTGGCCAAACCTTCAGTTCCTACTTGAAAATTTTTTGTGCTGTCAAGGATTGATCCCAGGACCCCACCCTGCCAGGCCTGCACTCATGCCACCAGTGATTTAGTATCTTCTAGTTTTCTTTAGTGCACTGCTCCTAAGCAGCTTGCCAGCAGTCCAGTTCTTTAGGACCGTCTGGTGCCTGCACTCTCCGTGTGTTACACGCTGTGACAGAAGCTTCCCCGCAGCCATTGAGTTGCCCCATTGTTTCCGGGAGACTTGAAGTCCTGAGTGCGCAGTCTCGGGATGCCTGTTCTTACTCCCCGTTCAGTATTCCTGCCTCTGGGTCAGGGCTCCGTGCACAGCACAGCATTTGACTTCCTCATTATTGCTATTCAGAGGGGATAGTGAAAAACACCAGGGTGTGTTTTTGTATTTTGCAGAAAGATACAGGGCCTTGGGCAAGTGCCTTGATTTTCAGTGTTATCCAGGAAAGTGTCTTTCAACCTTTTCCCAGCCGTAGCCTCCTTATGGCCTTGGTAGCTTCCTCTGCTCCCCCCCCACCCCCAAGTTGGCTCCTAATCTCCTGCCGTGGTCCCCCATTTACATGATTTTCACCTGTAGCCTTTTTAGAATATCCTGAGGGCTTAAGGGGGTTGGGGGTCGTGGGCAGGCTCTGTGGCCTCCAGCCGAGAAATGATGGTCTTTAGAGATCGTGGTTTTGGTTCTCAATACTTTTCATTTCATTCATTTGGCAAATATTCTTGGATTGTTTGTATGTTAGGCACCAAAGCAGCAAAAATAGATAAAACTAGAGTGTAGCACATTCCTAGAGCTTTGGATTGAGAGGGCTTTACTGGTACAGCTATCAGGTCTATATGTAGAATTGCATCTTTAAGATAACTTAAAAGTTGGGGCTGGAGCAAGAGTACGGCAGGTACTCTTGCCTTGCACGAGTCTGACCAGGGTTCCAACTCCAGCATCCCAGGTGGTCTCCTGAGCCTGTCAGGAGTGACTCCTCCGGCTCAGAGCCAGGGAGAAGCCCTGAGCACCACCAGGTGTGGCCCAACAACCTAAAAAAAAAAATAAAGATGATGAATGTAGAAATTAACCAGACAACTTTTTCAAGACTTGTATTTTAGGGGCTGGAGTGATAGTAAGCAGGCAGGGCGTTTGCCTTGCACACGGCTGTCTAAGGTTTGGGGCCCAGCATTCTATATGGTCCCCCAAGCACCGTCAGGAGTTATTCTTGAGTACAGAGCCAGGAATAACCTCTGTGCATTGCTGGGTGTGACCCAAAAAGTCTCCCCCCCAAAAGAAAAAGACATGTATTCTATGTAGATGGGTACATAGTCTGAAAAATATTTTAAAATATGCACAGCAATAAAAGTCTAACTTTTAAAGCTCTCTAGGCCGTGCGTATAGTCATGGCGCCAGTTATAGATAAGGTTGGTGCGCTGGGGAACCACGACAATGTCACATGCCCAGATGAGGGAATGTCACCCACCATTGTTCAGCAGCACCACTGTCTCTTTCTCTCTCTCAACCCCCACTCCAGATTGCCATTCACGTTCGTGACCAAGGAAGTCGCCGAGGCCACCTGCAACTGCCTCCTTGCCCAGGCCGAGCAGGCAGACAAGAAGGGCAAATCGAAAGCAGCAGCTGAGCGGATGATCATTGAGGAATTTGGCCGGTGTTTGATGAGCGTCATCAGCTCTGCGGGAAAAGCCAAAAGTGGCCCTTGTGCCATGAATTGCTGACTCTTGCACAGAACACTGTTAGGTGGAGCGAAGGCGGCACAGACATCTGGTAGATGGAGCCTGCAGAGGAGTTTTGGCGGCACAGACAACTGATGGATGGAGTGGAAACCACAAGTGAAGGGGCACAGACAGCTGGAGATGGAGCCCACGGGAGTGAAGGTGGCACTGCAGACTGCTGCAGGGAGCCCACAGGAGTGAAGGTGCAGGGGCGCTGGATCTGCCGGGGAATAGCTTAGCAGTTACTGCGTTGTTATTCCATCCTGTGAGACCTGAAATGCTAATACAGAGAGAGAAGAAATTTTAAATGTGGAAAGAGTCCATTTAAAGTCTTAGATCTGCTGACGCCCCTTCTAAATTGAAATGTGTGTGTGTGTATTGTAGATTTTTAATTTGCTCGGGTTTCTTAAGAACTAGATGTCCTACCTTTCTGATTCTATTGACAAAGAACATTTATAAATTACTATAATATAATTTATCATGTATGGTGTTGTATGACTTTGTTCCAGTAGAAAAAGTCAAGGAAGCATTGGTAATATTCATTGGTACATAACCTAGAATTTAAGCAGATAGAAAATCTACATAAATACTTGGAAAACATCCTCAAATGATAATTTGTGTTTCAAAAAATACTCTTTTAAGAAAAATCAACTTTTATGGGTCAGCTCTGGAATAATACTGCTTTGTCACTTTGGGAACGTCAGGAGGGGATATAATATATGGGGACACTTCAAATTTTAAAAAAATATTTTGTTCTTTTTTAAAAAAAGTTTATCAAAGAAAATAATTCTCAAAGGATGATCAATGTGTTTATATAATGATGGTCTAAAACGATCTGGGATATTTTAATTTTTCATGGAGTTGGTTTATATTTGAAATGATAATAAATTGTCAAGTGATTACTAGGTACTATTAAAAGAAGGGGTACATATGTGTAGAAGTAAATTGTTACCATGTAATCATACAGAAACTTAACGTCATTATCAGGTCTACAGTTGGCTTGACTGAAGAAATAATACTGAGGCTCTAAGAGATGAAATTTGGGAAGGATTTTTCATCTGTACAAGCAGGTCTTTATAGATTTTTTATCTAAGAGATTTCAAACCAGTGTGTAACTTATGATTTTTTGAAATGGGCCTTCTAGCAAAGCTTTCAGAATTGCCTTGGGATTGATTTCTTTTTATAAGGGAAGTTTAATATGGCATTTTTTTGCCAGAGATTTAAATAGTAAGTGGAACGTATGAGTGTTTTCATATAGTTACTAAAATAACCTAAATCACTTTCAGTAATTCAAAAGCTTTATGAATTTAAAAGAGCCCATTATACCAGGACTCTGGGTTTTGTGACAAAGGAAAAAAAACCATGTTGGAATTCAGGCATTTTGTTAAGTACCTTAATCCTCAGTAATTATTAGTATATGATTATCTCATTTCCTACAAGGAATTTATAGTTGTATGTATTGTGTGTATATATGTTCATATGAACATGCAAGATTTAGGCGATAGAAATGAAGTATCCAAAAGAGGATTCCGTTATCATTAAAGTATCTTCCTTTGAAATTTGGATTTTTAAAACTATTGTGCAGTAACTTTAAATGTAGATAGTGCAGACATTCTTAGCATCTCACTCTAGTGTGTTTAAAATTTGTATAAATGTAAATTAGTGTAAGAGGATAAAATAATATCTAATCAAGTTATTTTTCAAAAGATTACAGTACCTTTTTGGTCTGAACCTAAACTGTTCATTTTGTACATATTCTGTGTTTAATTCTAATTGCACCTTTGTGATGTGTATTTATATATACAGTGTGCAGAAAATGTTTGTGAATTTGGATTACAATTGTAGATTATGTATGATGGCACTGCTTGAGAATGTTTTGTTTGTAAAAATTTGAAGGTGCGATCAAATGCTACTAGTTTTTCTGATTTTCAAGAAGCTCTCTGAAGTATTGAGCCTTTTCCTTTCTGTGTTAAAACTTCTAACATGTTTTTGTGTTTAGGCATTTGCATCAAGTTGCTGAACAAGATTAATATCCACATTAATTCACCAATTCAAAAGACTTTTTTGGGGGGGGGGCTGGGTATCTAATTTTTTAGCTCTATTTACATCCCAAAGTAGAAAGATTAAATTTATATTTACAAGAGCTATTCAGAGAAAACACTTTTCTATATTGTAAAATCAGGACAGCAAAGTAAATCATACAGAAAATAAACATTTATACTATTCTGTAAAAAAAAGGTTTGCATTTTTCTTTAAAACTACTATTTTTAATCATTCAACATGCAAGAAACCTTTTAAATATCTTAAGAAAATCTAAAATTCCTTTTGAAAGCACACATCTCAGGATATCATTTTGCCAGCTACCATTAACATATAAATTGCTTTGAAATGAAAATATTTGTCTTCTCATTTTCCACGGTTTCTTTTAAAGGCAGAGACTCGATCAACTTGTTTCTGTTAAAATTTGATGTTCTTGGGATAAGCACCTTTCTTAGTTTCTTCTTTTGTCAATAAATCAAAGCAAACTCTAGATTTTATTTCTGGACTCTGAGAAACAGAACCTCAATTTGACAGCTAATAAGACAGAGCAGTGACTTTGGGGGAGAGACTTTTGGGGTCTTTAGCATCCCCATTCTTTATATGGACAACTGATATTTTCTCAGTCTTATGTAAGCGATGAATAAAAATACTTTTAGAAAAAATTTCTACTTTTATTGTTTTGTAACCCGATTGGCTAAGAAAAGGAATACTTGTTATAGAAATGCAGCTTAAGACCAGATGGTATTGCATTCCTTAAGCATTTTATAAGGTAAAATGGGCCAGAACCTAAAGGTGAAGCAACTAGAAACTTTCACTATTGGTGTTGGACTAAATTTTCTATCGTGCAAGTTACTTAGAATGTCCCCTTACCTCCACCCCACCCCTGGTCCTGAGTTCCTCTTAGGCTCCCCTTTTCATAGGGTGGAAGGGTGGGGGTCACACCCAGTAGTGCCCAGGAGTTCCCCTGGCTGTGCTAGGGTACTGTATGCAGTGCCGGGGATTGAACTTGAGGGTGGGGGTGGGGGCAAGCACCTTTATTAGTTTATTATGGCAAGCACCATTGTTCATTCCTTCTCTCAGATTCTTGAAGGTACTTTTTATCATTAGCACATAGATCAGATCTGTGCTTTTGATCCAAGTGATTTTATTTATTTTTGGGTTTTGGCCTGTCCCTGCTGTGTTTACTCCTAGCTCGACGCTCTGGGATCACTCCTGGCGGTACTAGGATTGGCTGGGAGAGGGCGGGGAGGGGTTGGTAGCAAGGGACATATGGGATACCAGGGATCAAACCCAGGTTAGGCTGTACTGTCTCTTTTGCCTCAATCCAAATGATTTTATAAGATGGTTTCTTTTATAAAAACTTATTAATTTATTTTGGGTTTCGAGCCATTTATTGTTTTGTTTTCGGGCCACACCTGGCAGTGCTCAGGGATTACTCTTGACTCTGTGCTCAGGAATCTCCTGGTGTGGTTGGGGGACCATATGGGATGCTGGGAATTGAACCCGGGCCTGTCACATGCAAAGCAAGTGATCTATCAACTATACTATCACTCTGGTACCCTATGATTTTTTTTATTTAATGTGAAAAATTTACCCCCCTCCTTTTTTGGGGGGGGGGCACACCTGGCTGTGCTCAGCGTTTATTTCTGGCTCTGCACTCAGGAATGACTCTTGGCGTGCTCAGGGGTCCATATGGGATGCTGGGAACCAAACCCAGGTCAGCGATGTGCAAGGTAAGCGCCCTACCTGCTGTATTCTCTCTCCAAAATGTAAGGACCAGGGAGGTAGTGAAAAGGGCTGGAGAGCATCCTTTGCATGCAGGGGCCCCAAATTCAGTCCCTGGTACTGAATACAATCCCTGAGCACCATGCCACGAGTAGTCCCAGAGCTCAAATGAAAAAAACCCATATATTTATATCCTGTAAAGTAACTGATAGAAGCTAAGAAAGTTTTAGGTTTTACTTTAAAAAGTGTATATTTAAGATAATGGCTATTATAATGTCACAGATCTTAATGTTATTATACTAACAAATGAAATTGTGCAAGACATAAAAATGAGTACAATACAACTAAGTTGAGTTTGGTTTTTGTTTGTTTTGGGGCCACACCCATCAGTGCTCATGGGTTACTTCTGGCTCTGCTCTCAGGAATACTCCTGGCAGGCTTGGGGGACCATTAGGGATGCCAGAGATTAAACCTGGGTCAGCCACACGCAAAGCCCACTGTACGAAACTGAATTTATCCTAGTAATAAAAGGTTGGCGGTAATTTTTCTTTTAATGTAATTTTGGGCTGGAGAGATAGTACAGCAGATAAGGTGCTTGCCTTGCATGCTGTTGGCCCTGCACCCCAAATGGACCCAGGGCACTACCAAATATCACTCCTGAGCATAGACCCGGACATAGCCACTGGGTACTGGCAGCTGTGGTCTAAAAATTGTTTTAAATGTAAGGGCCAGAGAGATAGCTCAATGCAGTATTCCTGGATTCACTTCCTAGTACTATTTGGTTTCCTGAGCACTGTTAGTGTTGTCTCCCCGCAAAAATAATAAAAATGACTTCAGGGATTCAGAAGGTAACTTGGTTGCATAAATCCCCCAGGTCAGTGTGAGGTTGAGTTTAAATCCTGCATGCACCAAGGTGGTTCTGACAGCCTCAGCAGGGGAAGTAATTTACTCTCTCAATGTACATACAGAGGAAGACCAAATGATTACATACAAGGTTGTGGAAATAATGACCATCGAACAGACTAAGGTGAGGGCAAATGTAGAACAGATGCGTTGTCAGTATAAAGCAAGATTTGATTCCCCCACACCCACAAAATGAAAGGGTGAATATTACAGTAACTTTTTTTTGTTTTTTTTTTTCTTTCTACAGTAACTTTTTTAAATGGAAAAACTGCCTGACAAAATGCAAATTTCAAAATTCAAAAACTCATTTATGATTAAAAGAAAGAAAACCTTAGCGATCTAGGAATACAAGGAATCTTCAAGGTGTAGCTAACAGCAACTTAGGTGAACAACAACAACAAAAAATAGGTGAACATTATTTCCCTCCAGGGTTGGGATCTGTTCAACACTGTTGAAAGTCAATGAAGCAAAATAAATGATAATGAAAACAAAAATGTCAGAGGACACTGAGAAACTACTAGAACCTAGGAAAGACAGAATGCACAATTCTATTGCTATGTACAACAGAAACAATTATACAATGCACACTTAGAAACTAAAGTGTTAAACTTT